ACCACATTATCAGCCAAGCAGACCAATAGGATCCTATGTCATACCGCTACGACATCTACTAGTACTCAAATTGTGGAATCCACCTATAAATTCTTGGCTCACTGGTTTTATATGCCTGTGCGCATGAGCTCCATATAGCCCACACCCTCTCCTTCCTGTTGGAGGGGTTGTGGTCATCTGGGCTCCTTCTCACATTTGTGGTGGTTTTGTTTGAAAATTATGAAAAGTTGGTCCCGTATATAGATCCTTACAGGTATACCTGGACCGTTCCATCCATGGGTTTGCCTTTCACTGTCTGACAGGGCCGTCTTTAAGGCGGGGCAAAAGGGGCACGTGCCCCAGGCCCAGTCATTGTTGTGGGGCCCTGTACCCCATAAACTAGCGCTAGTGAAACATTTCTGGACCAGCCGTCTAGTCTGCACTTCCCCTTTCTGACGCTAGAGGGCAGCAGCGTCCTGTCCATATGTGCAGCTAAGATCTCTGCAGCCCGGGATATCACCTCCCACTCAGCAGAGAAGGACGGTAGCTTTTGCACACCCTGCTTCATAGTCCTGCCCTCCTCCCTCCATGGCTGCAGTCTCATCCACCCCCTGTCCACAGCGAGTCCACATGGCTGTTGGGTTGGGCTTCTATCTGGGGGGGAGAGGGATGGTGTGTATAATGCTGTATAAAAGCATTATACACACCATCAAAAGCATCATACATTCTTTAGGTTTTCCCAGGAGGATGTTTAGGCCTCATCTGCTGCTAGCTTTGGATGTAAGTTCTTTCAGGTAGGTCTTTGAGCTATAGGCAGTTACTAGTTGTTTTTCCTCTGTTTTATGATCGGGGTTGTTAAGCTGGCCATACACTAGTAGACTTCTGAACGAAAGATCTTTCTTTACTAACAAAAGATCTTTCTTTGCCACCCAATATTTCCATCAGACACTTGAAGAATGTGGAACAAAATTTCATTTTATTTTAACATTCCATTTTGGAATGAATGGAGTTTCCCAAACGGAAATTTTCCATACTGCTCCTTCGACTTTTTTTTGTCACTACGGTTGAAATGGATCATTGATTTGACCCCATCATCTAATAGAAAGTCGAAGGAAAGTTCTTTTATACCAAAGTACTTTCAAAAATCTAAGCAGTTTATGGCCAGCTTTAGTGTTTGGTTTGCTGTGTTGCCCACTCCTCAGTTGGACAGCCTTTGAATTTCCCAGTTATCTCTGAATCCTGTATTCCTCAGGCAAGAAAATTGAACTTTTGTACTCACCATAAAATAATTTTCTAAGAAGTTAACAGGTCCCACCCCTGTGTTTCTGATCTTGATGTTGGCACTGCTTGTTACAAAACTGAAGGGAGAAGAAGTTGGAGTTTTACTGGGCTGGATCACTGTTTTTGTATTTATGTCCAAATCCTTCTGTAGGCAGCAGTGGGACCCATTTGTCTCTGAATCCTGTGTCCCTCAATTATCTTCCAAGAAAAGGATTTTAAGGCGAGTGTAAAAATCAATTTTTTTAACTCCCAATTCAAAATTATTTGAAATTGAAACTCCAAGATTTCCTGTAAGGCGTGGAGATGAGGTGGCATGAGTGGAGTTGGAGTTCTGTAGCCCCCAGCCACCTAATGGACATTCTAATTGAATAAATGGGGTTAGGAAGTGCATAAAGGTGCCCATACACTGCGCGATTCTCATACAAGAATCGCAGGAAATCCCGCGATCCTACGAGAATCGTGCAGTGTATGGAAGGCGTGCGACCGTTTCTAATGTACGGTCGCGCGACTTTTGTATATCGAGCATGTTGGAAAACCAGCCGAGAATCGTACGATTTTCGGCTGGTTTTTAACATGATCGAGAGATCACTGCCGAACGGGCCGGTGTGCGCAGACTGCCCGTTCAGCATTTCAGTCATTGGAAGCGCGCCCCTCAGGGGGGCGGGCTTGCGATGATCACAGGTACGATCTGCCTGTCCAAGATGGGCAGATCGTACGTTTTTTAAATTACTTTACAACCCTCGCAAGACAAAAGTCTTGCAAGGGTTGTAAAGTGTATGGGCCCCTTTAGGCAGAGTGCCTGCCTTGGATGTTTTGCTTGAATTAGCTGTGTGGCATCAGTTGCACATTGAAGAACTAAGAGTTTTTTGATTAAGGGGTGTGGTGTTGATGAATACATGATGAAAAAGTGACAAACGTTATAGTTAAAATAATAAGACTTCTTTAATATAGATTATTTACAGCAAGTCAATGTACATCATTCATAAAAGCTGTTTTTCTTATATTTACTTTGAGAACGCTGACACACCTGGTGCATTATTATATCTATAAATGCCCCAAATATTTTATAAAGAATCATTATGTATGCTAATGTATGCTAATGGTGACATGGCAATGTGACCCTAAAATGAATTGTGTCATTTATCAGGCTGCTATCTGAACAAAGTGGTTGATGGTTGACAATCCTGGCCCCGTCACATGGGCTGCCACCTTTTCTTTGAAAAAATACCAAAGATGTTAAATGTTTCTGCTGCTTGGCTGTGGTTAATTATAAACTGGAAAATTTGGACTTAAACTGCTGTGCCTAGAATTGGTCAAAGATTTATCGTTAATGTTACCAGAGAGTGATACTCATCTCCACCGAGTGCTTCACATTACTAAGAACATCTGAATATGACCAGCAAGAGCTTGCTTGCAGTTTTGGACTGATTATGGTAATTTAAGTTCCAGAGCACATCTGACACTATAGCACATGTAGAAGGTTTGATGTGGTTATTGTGTGTGTGGCTAATAGAGTCTATGCCTACATGACATAGCCACTTGATTGAGACCTGTGTCATTTCTTACTTGATTGAGACCTGTGTCATAGCTCAATCATTCATTGAAAACTGATTACATCACTGACAATACAGCCTATCTGAGTTTACCCCATCAGAGTGTGATCAAAATGCTGCAAGCACTATTTTGAACGCACCAGACCGCACTGTAGGCACCATGTTCCTTGCGTTCCCATGCGGGCGATCGCATTGCGGCCGCAGGGCGTGGCTACGGTGCCATTCACTTCAATGGCCCGCCACGCCCCCTCCAGCCTGGCAAAAAAGTGAGCCGGCTGCAATGCGGGCCGATTCTGACCGGAACGCACTGCCCTATAGTTTGAACGAACCCTCACAGTCAGTTATACCAAAGACGTTACAATAGCGTTTCCATGCGTTCCAGTGCATTCCAGACCAGAGAAAATAAGACGAGCAGTATTTTTTTTGTCTGGACCGGAACGGACTGCGCTGGTGTGGACAGAGCCCAAAAATACCATAGGGATACATTAGGATGCTTTTTGGTCCGGGAACAAACTGTTCTGGTCTGGACATGATGCGGACATGGTGTGAACAAGCACTGAAACAGGAAGTCAGGATTAGTGCTCAGGGGACCAGCTGATTCTGCAGGAAAATAAAACTTTTCAGCATCAAGAAGCAGCATCCATTGTAAGTGGTTTAATCAGCATTTGGCATAGCTTAAAACCCTTTTGACTTTAATATCACTTTAATTGCCTTCATAAGGAGAATTGTCTTTAAATTGACTTTAAATTGTCCCGGTCTCTAAACTCACTTACAGGGAACTTCCTGGATGTTATCTGAATAGCCCTGAAGTGCTTAGCTGATGTGTTTAGAAGGACATCTAGAATGTGAAACAGTTTGGAGGGTTTTTAATGTCGCAAATGCTGAACACAATTGAGAAATTATTCGAAATGTCCCAAACATGTGCAGTGAGTCGCAAACATGAATATGTTGCAAGAACACTTTGAAAAATGCACATAACAGAGATAAAACTTTGCGGTTAGTTAGCATGACAGGCACCGCTGCCTGTTTTAAAATTGCGGCCATTTCCCGCTCGCGCGCGCCCAGCTGAAGACGCCCGCTCAGATCTAGAGAGCTCCGGGCCGGCCGTTTTTTTTACTACGGCCGGCCCGGAGGCAGTTAAAGTAATTTTTGAATCTGCAGCTTTTATTAAAAGAGAACTATGAGGTGAGTGCTTTTCACTCATCCTCATAGTTCTAGCCGACCTGTGACAATGAGACTGTCACAGGTCGGCTCAGTAGATCTGGAAGTGAGCGAACACATACCGGCGTTCGCTCACTTCTCGATCCTGTCACGACAGAGAGCCGTGACAGGGTAGGGACTGGATTCCCCCCTCCGATCCGCCAGCGCTGACTGGCGGAACAGACGGGGGAGGGTACAGCTGGCTCTGCCTCTAGATAGGCAGAGCCAGCTGTCACTCACGCAGCTGGGCGGATCCAGACATAATTGTCGGGATCCGTTTCTGCTGCGGCGTCTCAGTATAGAGCTGCAGCTCGCGTTATACTGAGCTTTGGGTAACGGGAGGACGCTAGTTTGTGTCCTCCCGTTACCCTTCGGAGAACTATGGGGAAAAGCCCTAACCCCATAGTTCTCCTTTAAAAAATACCTGGTGATCCTGCCATGCAGGTCCTTTTTTAGGCAGTTACTGTTACAGGATGACAACGTCCTGCCGTTGTCTCCCAATTGTGCCCCTTCGTTGTCACCCTGTTACACATGCTTATGATGGAGTGGTCATTTCAAGACACATTACACATGCATGGTGCACTATTGTAAACATAAGGAAACCTGTCCTTATAAATGCCATTGCTGGTGTGTATGTGAACGTGACTGTAGGAGATCAGCTCTGAAATGCAACAAAGGATTCAAAAATAAAATGGTGGAAACAAATATTTTATTTTAAAAATGGTAGATGTTACTTTGCAAACTAGATGTCATTCAGTCAGGGTTTACATTTACTGAAAAAGGCACCGGATGAAATTAGCATTATGACTGTTATCTTATAAACCAAGTTCCCATTCTATTCTACAGCAATAGATCGCAGTTATTTCAGCAATGGGAACGAGGCACTGCAGAGAGGCTTTCTGCAAACTAGGCCTAATACACAGGCCCTAGTCTCTATGACAACCCAATTGCTACACCACCCTCCTTAGAACTACCCACAGTTCTCTACGTGCAGCCTCGACTTCAACTGGAAGAGGGCAACCAACCCTAATGTGCGTGAAGATCTGCCCAGCCCCATGTCGCGTGACCTACGTGTTGTTGATTGGGCAGCTGACAAGTCACTTACAGCCTGTTTCTAATAGTCAGGGTAGGTTGTGGCGTATCCGAAGGCTGGAGGAGCGGAAATCCCGGGTACGGCCAGCCAGCTAGGGTGGGGAAGAGATTGGTGTCCGCCCCCCACCCTCCTCCAGTATTCCCGGCTGGATGCTCGGCGCCCTGTGACTAGGCTCGGAATCCGAGCCGGTGAGTGAGCATCTCTCTCCCCCCCCCCCGGGGGGTGGGGGCCCCCGGGCGGGGCCAACCGGCCG